AAGTGACACAGTGGACACTGACGTTCTGCATAAGTACAGTCGAACTAGGGACGGGCCAGGAGACGGAGACCGCACTGGCTACCAGCACCAGCAGCCCACTGGTCCAGCTGCAGAGAGGCCAACGGAGGCTTCTGCCCCAAGGCAGGAGGACAGTTTTCCCAGGCTGTAGCCACAGGACGAGTGCTGGCTGGGCAGGTCCTGACTGTGGCTGGTCCCAACACAGTGGACAGCTGCAGGGTGCCAGTCCTGCCCTGGGGCATCAGTCCTGGTGTGTGGAGGGCAGACCCATGCAGTAAACCAAGCCCTGGAAGAAGCCAAAAGGCAGTGGGCACAGCCCAGGGGGCAGGGTAGTGACAGAGCGTCTGTTTCATCTCTTTCCTCACCCCCAGCCCTATTTTGTATTTTACTTAGAGACAGGGTCTCATTGAGTTGCTTAGGGCCTCAGTGTTGCTGAGGCTGGCTTTGAACTCGTGATCCTCCTGCCTCAGCCTCCGGAGCCCCTGGGATTACAGGCGGGGCCACCACACCTGGCTCCTCTTAGTTTGTATTACACTTATTTAATTTGTGGTACTGAGAATTGAACCTTATTCATTCCACCTCTGAGATACATCCCCACCTCCTTTTATTTTATTTATTTATTTTAAGACAGAATCTAAGTTACCAAGGGTGTTCTTAAACGGCAGTCCTCTAGCATCAGCCTCCAGAGTATCTGGGATCACAGGTTTGACCACTGATCCTGACTCTCTTTTTGATTGAACGAAGGGCCTGACCCTTGCTGAGCATGCACACTACCACTGAGCTGCATCCCCATTTTAAAATGGGGATCATGGCCAGGCGCAGTGGTGCGGCCCTGTCACCCCAGCTACTCTGCAGGCTGAGGCAGGAGAATCACAAGTTCACGGCCAGCCTCGTTGGTGGGACCCTCTAAAAATTAAAAAATAAGCCAGGCACAGTGGCGCACGCCTGTCATCCCAGCAGCTCTGGAGGCTGAGACAGGAGGATCACGAGTTCAAAGCCAGCCTCAGTAAAAGTGGGGCGCTAAGCAACTCAGTGGGACCTTGTCTCTAAGTAAAATACAAAATAGGGCTGGGGTGTGGCTCAGTGGCCCAGTGCCGCCGAGCTCAATCCCCAGCCTCTGTTAGTTGTGCTGTTTGCCTCGGCTCTGGGACCTGGACAGATAGACAACGGTGGGTTACTACTGTGTGCCATTGAGGGGTTGGGGGTCTGTGGACAGAAAGGTGCAGTTTTGGAGCTTTGTGACACTTGTGTGCTTTCCATTCTGCAGGAGGTGACAGGTGGCTGCCATGGGAGACCTAGGTGGGCAGTCTGCTGACACTCCTTCCCAGGGCAGCCATGTCCTCTGCCCTCAGGGACAGAGAAGAGGGCAACCTTCCTCTCCCTGGTTCCAGTAGACATCAGCTTAAGGGAGCCCCCAAACCCCACACCAGGAAGACCCCGATCTGAGGCTCAGCACAAGTGAGAAACACCTGGGCCCTAAAGATGCGAGTCGCAGATTCAGGAAGTCAGCGGGATGAGCATCCAGACAAATGCAGCCCTCACCCCAAGACAGGCAAAGGTGCAGTCTGCCCCCCTCCCTGCCTCCCTCCCTCCCTCGGACACACCCKTGTCGCCTGGCCTGTGGGACCAGGGACTTCAAGGCTCCTCCCAGCCCAGCAGCTGCTGACCTGGGCTGGTGACTGCTGCTGTCACCAAGCCTGAAGCTGAGGAGAGTCTGGACGCTGTAGCCTTTTGGCACTGAACTCTAACCTGTTGCTATAATGTGGACCTGGAAGTCCCCTTGTGTCGAAGGCCTGGTCCCCAGCCTGGGCACCCTTGTGAGGTGGTGGACACTCAGGAGGTAGGGCCTGGTGGAAGGTGGGTCCTCTCCCTCTGGGCGTGCCCTTGCAGGGACAGTGGGAGCTCAGCTGGACTCCTTGCCTCCCAGCCACAGGTGAGTGCTGCCCCCCCTCCTGCCATGAGTCTGCCTCCCACAGGCACAGCACAGCGCCAGCTGACCACACACCACCAGCTGCCCCACACAGGGACCTTTGAGACTGTCATTGTCACAGTCATAGAAAGCTGACCAACACATTCACCTTTCTTATTATTTTGGTGCTGGGGAGTGAACCCAGAGGTGCTCTACGCTGTGTGGGCTCTCTCTCATCCAACGAGGAGTCCTCAGAACAGGGTAGAGGAGAGTGTGGCTGCGGAGTCGCTAATCAAGGCCTCCGGAGACCAAGCAGGACGCAGGTCTGATTTTATTGCGCAGTTACAACATATGTACACTCAGCAGCGAGGCAGATTACAGCAGCCACCAATGCAACGTCTGCAACTGTCCTGCAACTGACCAATCCAGTGGGCCACGGAACGGGCGCAGGGACTGCAACATGCGCCTCACGCCCAGGGCTGTGCCTAAGGAGTAAGCGGTTTGCCCCTCACACACCAAGCACGAGGGGAGTGGCCTGCCACTCAGACACCCTTAATGTAGGCCATGTCTGCAGTACTCCATGCACCTGTCCCCACATACCACTGAGCTGCACCCCGACCTTTGTTTCTTTTCATTTTGAGACAGGACCTTGCTATGTTGCTGAGGCTGGCCTTGAGCTTGTGGTCCTCCTGTGTCAGCCTCCCAGGTTGCTGGGCTTGCAGGTGTGCAGACTGTGCCCATCCTGACCTGATCATCTTGGGTACTGGTTACAGTAACAGAAACTTAGCACACACCTAGTGTGTGTCTTAAAAATTATGTTACTTTTTAAAGATTCTGTAAGATGAACAATGTTAATAAAGAAGGGATTCTATCCCAGTTGGGCTTTGAAATCACGACTCAAATTTGCTTAGGAGAGAAAAAAAAAAACTGATGACAAAGAAGGTGAAGGAAGTCAGAACAGGCCACCTCTCCTCCTGCCTCTAGGTATGTTGATTATTTTGAGCAAAAAGAAACTGAGAAGCAGCCAACACTGAAAAAAATGTTTCCAATCCCTTTCATCTGCTTAAAATAAAACACAAATCTCCCCTTTAATGAAGGATATTTACACTTAAAAAGAAATTGTAATTACTAAAGGATAGAGAGCCAGGAGCACTGGTGCTGGTCTGTCATCCCAGCAACTCTGGAGGCTGAGGCAGGAGGATTGCAGGTTTGAGGCCAGGCTCTGCAGCTCAGTCAGACCCTGTCTCAAAAAAATAAAAATGAGCCTGGCATGGTGGTGCACACCTGTAATCCCCTCGGCTGGGAGGATGAAGCAGGAGATGGCGAGTTCAGAGCCAGCCTCAGCAACTTAGCGAGACCCTGTCTCTAAACAAACAAAAAAAAAAAAACAAAAAGAGCTAGGGATGTGGCTCAGTGGTTAAGCCCCCCATGGGTACAGTCCCTGGTACAAAAGCAAAACACCAAAACATGACTGTGGGTATAACATGTAGCTCAGTGGTAAGACATCCCTACGTTCAATCCTCAGCATAGGAAGGAAGGAAGGAAGGAAGGAAGGAAGGAAGGAAGGCAGGCAGGCAGAAGAGAGCTACTCAGAGCAACTCCCAGCTCTAGAGAGGCCTCTGCTGCACAGCAAGGCAGCATGCATTTACCACAGACTGGTCCCCTACCCAGCATCCCCTAAGTCCTAGACACTAGGGATTGAACTCTGGACACTGAGCCACATCCCCAGCCCTATTTTGTATTGAGACAGGGTCTCACTGAGTTGCTCAGCACCTCGCTGTTGCTGAGGCTGGCTTTGAACTTGTGATCCTCCTACCTCAGCCTCCAGAGCTGCTGGGATAACAGGAATGCGCTACCTAGCCCGGCTTGTTTGTGGGATTTTGTTGTTGTTTCTTTTAGTAGTGGGGATTGAACCTAAGGACACTTTACCACTGAGCTGTATCCCAGCCCTTTTCTTATTTTGAGACAGGGTCTTGCTAAGTGGCTGAGCCTGGCCTCAAGCTTGTGGTCCTCTTGCCTCAGCCTCAGAGTTGCTGGAATGCCAGGTGTGGCCACAGAGCCCAGCTTGTGACCAACACTGGAGTAACTACCRATCATTCCATAGCAACCGCACGTTACCTCTTACAGTGCTACCTGTTTACATCCTCTCGTCCTCTGAGGAACCCAGGGTTGGAACCCAGGGCCTGGAACATGCCAGGCGAGCGCTCCACCTGAGTCACACTCCCAGCTTCAACATTCATTTTATAGACAGAAAATCTAGGCTGGCTTTCAGTGGCTTATCAATTAAAGGCCGTACTTAGGGGCTTTCAGCTAGCAGCGGTGAGACCTGCGGGATGAAGTGCAGTTCGGTGAAAACAGCCAGCAGAGCTCGTCGGGCTCGGTCCCATCGCGGCCTGCAGAGGTGGCCGGGCCGCGCTGACCGCCACGCCCCGCCCTGAGCGGGTCCTAGAGCCGGGTCCACCCTCCCGGATCCGCGGGGACGCGCCCGCCGCCACCTCCGCTCGGGGCACGCGAGGCGTCCCGGCCCCCCACGCCTTGAGCTCCGCCCCAATCCGAGACAGCCCCGTCCCGGGCGCCGCCAGGTGTGTGCGGGGTGACAACTCACCCTCCCCGCGCTAGACCGGCCCCAGGACCGAGTCCCGGAAGTGCTCACGGAACGTGCCTTCTAGCCCGGAGGTCGCCGTCGCCCACTGTACACAGGGGCAAACTGAGGCCTCAGAGTGCCGGCCTCGGTCACCCCGACGCAGCGAAGGGCACAAGTGCCAGCTGGCGCCCCGCAGGTGCCCAGGCCCCGGGACGCCTGCAGACAGCTGTCGCGTCTCCCCGCCTCAGTCGCCCCCCTCCGATGGTTTCCCCAAAGAGGCTCCGGCAGGGAGCGCGTTTCCGCGGGCCACCCGGCGGCCGGGGGGCGCACCTCCGCGACCGCCCGCACCGCCGCCTCYGCTCGTCGCGGGGGCGCCACGCCGGTCAGGGCGGAGCCAGCGCCGCGCGCGTGGCCTTCTGGGGGCTGTGGTCCCAGCCCCACCTCGGCCTCGCGCAGGCCCCGCCCCCGGAACTACGGTCCCGTCAGGCTCCGCGCTCAGGGCGGAGCCAGCCGGTTGCTAGGACTTGGCGAAGCCCAGCGCTCGCGAGGTCTCCTTTAGGTGAGCAGCGGTCCGAGGACTCGAGTTTTCCCGGCCCAGGTTCCCACGGAGGGGGAACAGGCGCGGCGGCGGGGATCTGGGCGGTGGGCAGCCGTATGGCGGATGAGGGCGTGGGCCCGTCCAGCTTGCGCACGTCTCGGACGGGCGGGTGGGCGTGCGCGTGCGTGGGGTGCGAACAGGCCACTCAAGTACGCGTGCGCGCAGGGTCGGAAGCCCCCACCCAAGACCCGTTGCCTTTGTGCGCTTGCGCGCGCCCCTCTACCGGTTCTGGAGACCCGGTGCGTCCCAGCTGTTTCCGGTGCTGCCAACCGTGGGTCATCACAGCCAGTCCCCTGCTCCTGGGCCGTTTGTTTACCTACTTCCCGCCCTCTAGTGCCCCTCCCTATCTCGACGTTGCCTGCAGACAAGCGTACCTCCAGACCGTTTTATTTGTCTTGTTTTATTGTTTTAGATGTGGACGGACATTTAATTATATGCGGGGTGCTGAGACTCGAACCCAGTGGCTCACACATGCTAGGCGAGTGCTCTACCTCTGAGCCCCAGCCCAGCCTCACTTTTTTATTTTGAGACAGGGTCTCTCTAAGTTGCTGAGGCTGGCCTCGAACAAGCAATTCCCCTGCCTCAGCCTCCCGATTTGCTGGATCCCAGCCACCACGTCCGGCCCACCTCAGTCTTTTTATACATCCTGGGAATTGACATCACCGCTGTTACTGGAAATGTGGATTTTCAGGGATCCCCTCCGCTGCTGTGCCTGTCCTCCAGGCGTGGGCCCCTGCTGCGCCCTCCTGGATCCCTCTTGAGGTGGTCATGCCACCTGCCCCTCTGTGGGGTTCCTTTCTGGTGTGTCTTTGTGTCCCAGGACAGTGCTGGGTCTACTGTCTGCTGCTGATCCCCTGCCCAACAGTGACTGGATGCCGATTTCACAGGGATGGGAGCTGAGCTTGAGGGGTTAGTGCTGGTGGTGGAGGTCTCCTGGCCTGACAGGCTGGGCCCAGGCTCTGACTCCTTCCTCATCTGGAGGTAGGACAAGGCCTCCCAGCCTAGGACTTCCTGGGGTTCACCATGCACACTYACTCACCCCAAGAAGCGTTGCCATCTCTCCATAGAGCCAGACCAGATGGGGCCTGATTGTCCTCTCCTGCTGGACCTGTTGCCCGCCTAGGCTTGGTGTTGTGAGAGGAGAGACAGAGGCCCCAAGAAATGGCTAGTGTCCTCATCTGCTGAGGGGTCCCAGTTCCTGGTTCCCTGCAGCCTGGGGCCGGTGAGGAAGGAGCTGTCTTGCTTTGGAGCCAGCATGCCCCAGCCCTGTACTGCTGTCAGCCAGCCACGAGGGGCAATGAAGCAGGAAGCGTAGAGGGGCCCTGCCCGTGGTCTGTGGCTGCCCTCCCTGGAGCTGGGCCTGTGTGGCGCTGTGGCTGTGGCCTTGTGTTGCCTGCTTTGTATTGTCAGACAGAGGTTGTAGTCTTGGGGACAGATGAGGCTGTGTTTGTCTTCTGCCCTGGAGACAGTGGACCTTTTGTGGCCTAGGCAGTCTGTTTGGGCCACAGAATTAGGATCCAGATGGCTGCTGTGAACCTTCTGTGGGTGCTGCCTGGCTTGGGGCCTCAGGTGGCAGCAGTTACGGTGGCACCACACCTGCCAGGAACCACTACCACTTTCCTGTCTCCTGTTCCCACTAGCACCTCTGCAGAGCGCAGGAACAGCTGTTCACATCAGAAGGCCTCAGCATGGGCTGGGGCCAAGGTGCAGGCCTGTCATCACAGCGACTTGGGAGGCTGAGGCAGGAGGATACAATTTCAAGGCCAGCCTCAGCAACTTAGCAAGACCCCATCTCAAAATAAAAATGCAAAGGGGAGCTGGGAGTGTGTGTGGCTCCGTGGTGGAGCCCTTTCCTAGCACATGTGAGGCCCTGGATTCCATCCTCAGCACCACATAAAGATAAATAAAAGGTGTTGTGTACATGTACAACTAAAAGCAATAAATAAAATGAAAAGGGCCAGGATGTGGCTCAGTGGTGGAACACCCCTGGGTTTAACCCCAGTAGTTAAAAAAACAAAGGCAGGCCCAGTGTGCCCTGCAAAGTGACTCCTGATGCTGGAGTCTGCCACCCGGGACTCCTGGCCACTGAGGTGGGAGCCAGGCAGCCTGTCTGGACTGATGACTGACCGCCTCTCAGCGGTGGTGTGGTGGGGCCCGCCAAGACACTAGCAGGGCCGTGGAGTCTGGGCAAGTGTGTTTGAGACAATCCAGAGTCATTTTACCACTGTCTGTGCACATCCCTCATGTCTGCTGAGGCCCCTCTTCCAGGAACAAGACGAGCACACAGGTGACGTGAAGTTGGTGGCGTTTTCCCTTGTGCGACGGCCAGGCCAGGCCTGTGCATGCCCGGGAGAGCACCTACCACCRAGCCACACCCCAGCACACACGCCAAGTTTTTTAGAAGCCACGTTTTAAAAAAGTAAAACAAGGGCTGGGCTGGAGCTCAGCTGTAGAGCACTTGCCTGGCACGGGGGAGGCACTGGGTTGCATCCTAAGCACTGCAGACAAATAAATGAATAAAATAGAAGCCCATCAACAACTAAAAAATACATATTTAAAAAAAATGTAAAACAGAAAGGGTTTAAACTCATCTTCACAGTATGCTTTTTTCCCCTYGTATTACTGGCACTGAACCTAGGTCGGGGTGCTTTACCACTGAGCCACATTCCCAGTCCTTTTTTTACTTTTTATTTTGAGGCAGGGTCTCACTAAGTTGCTCAGGGTGCCCTCAAACTGTGATCCTCCTGCCTCAGCCTCTGGAGTCACTGGGATGGCAGGCATGGCCCTTGAAGGCCTGGCCAGCTAATGGTATGCACTATTTAACAGAAGACTTGCAAAGCATTGTTATTTAAACGTGTGACTGATACATAGAAACAGTTAACAAGAACGTTCATTTTCTTCCTTTCAGATCAAGTGTCTGAAATCCACTGTGGGCTCAGGGGTACGGCCACTGGGTCCTGGAGGACAGCTCGGGGTTCCCTTCTGCGGGTTCACTTCCTGGGCGCTCTTGGCCAGCCCTTCCTCTCTGGGCCACGGTGACGCCGCACCKCCATCTCGGTGTCTGACCACTGTMCCAGTCCCAAGCACAGGCAGGGAAGTATCTCAGTCGCTGTGCCTCTCGGGCTTCTGGGCATGATCTGGGGCAGTGTTTTCATTTATGTTTTGAGATGGCGTCTGGCTGTGTTACCCAGGGTGGCCTTAACCTCCTTAGCTCAAGCCCTCCTCCCGCTCAGCCCCCTACTAGGTGGGACTGCAGACACGGGCACCATACCTGGCTTGGGCACTGCTGCTGTCACACGGACAGCCTGTGTTTCAGGGTCCCAAGACCACCCTAGACATGATTTGCTGGGAGGACCCCTATTGCATAGGCAGTCAAGAACCAAGGTCCCCTCTGGTCAGGGAGGGTGGGCAGCCCCGGCAGCCCAAGTCCCCGACCCTGCTGCCAACCTTCTAAGGATGTGGCCGCAGGCCTGCCTTATGGGCTGTGCCCTGCTGAGCACAGGGCGTCTGTGTGGCCGTGAGCTGGCCTGCGTCATGGGCACCTCTGTTCCAGGTCCTGCCTCCCTGGAGTCAGGCCAAGACCCTTGGGTGTGTTTTGAGGGAGCCTCGGTGCCAGGCTGGGTCACCTTTGTTTGGGGGAAGACCTGGCCCTGGGGACATGGGGAGGAGCACCTGGCCCGGCAAGCTGGTGGCTTCAAGGTGTCATGCTGGGCCCATGCCAAAGTCTGGGAGCCAGAGTGCCTTARCCATGTTCCCTGTGCAGAGTCCCAGGGGGCTGTCGCAGGCTCTCTGTCCCTGCACTGCCTCCCCTGCCCTGGCTGTCTGGCCCCAGAGACTGTGGGCCAGGAACTAGGGCCCCAGCCAGCCCTGCTGCTCCCAGACACACTTTAAGGCTGTGCACTGTGGGGTGACAGCAATGGAGATGCTGGTGACAGCAGGTCAAGCTTTGTAAGAAAGCACAAGCCAGGCACAGTGGCCATGCCTGTCATCCCAGCAACTAGGAGGCTGAGGCAAAAGGATCTCATGTTCAAAGCCAGTCTCAGCAACTTCGTGAGGCCCTAAGACCTTGTCTCTAAATTAAAAAAAAAAAAATGGGGGGATGTTGGATTGTGGCCTAGTGGTAAGATGCCCCTGGGTTCAATCTGCAGCCCGAAAACAAGTGTGGTGTGTGTGGTCAAGGAGGAAAGCCAGGCTGGCCGCGGCTCAGGGGTGGGCACTCGCCTAGCACGTGGGAGGCCCTGCGTTCCATCCTCAGCACCGCAAAAGATAAATAAATAAGTAAATAAAGGTGTTGTGTCCAACTACAACTAAAAATAAATATTAAAAAAGGCAGAAAGCCGGGCGCGGTGGCATATGCTGTCCCTGTGGTCCCAGTGACTCGGGAGCCTGAAGAAGGGGGGTCACGAGTTCAAAGCCAGCCTCAGCAATGTCGAGGCGCTCAGCAACTCAGTGAGACCCTGTCTGTAGAGGGGCTGGAGCTGTGGCTCAGTGGCAGAGCGCTTGCCTGGCATGCGTAAGGACTGGGTTCAGTCCTCAGCATCGTATGAAAAAAATAAAGCAAAGATATTTAAAAAAACATTACAGAATAGGATGGGCATGTGGCTCGGTGGTCAAGCGCCCCGAGTTCAATCCTCAGGACCCAAAAGAAAAAAGAAGAACGCCCTTGGCACCGCATCCTGTGGCCCAGGGGAGGGTCAGGGTGGAGCAGTGGGCCAGCTCCCGTCGGCCCACCTGGGCGTGAGCCCACCTCCTCCCTGGCCTGACTCACGCAGCCCCATGTCCTGCAGGGCTTCTGCTGGACCTGGCAAGGGGTGGGGAGCCTGGGACCAGGTCCCTTTTGAAGCCAGTGTCCACCTGGCTGCAGGGCTGTGGTCAGAGCGTGGGAAGCCTGTACCCGTTGCAGGAGGGCTCGTCTGGACACAGGTCTCGGGGCCTTTCTTCCTGCAGCCCGCTGGGCCAGGCTGGCAGCCCTGTCCCAGGCAGGCTAGAGGCAGAAGCTCCCTGCTGACCCTGGGCTCTGCCCTCTCCCTGGAGGGTTCTGCCACCACGTGGGAGACTGTCCCACAGTCAGCAGGTTCAGTGACGCTCACCTACCAGCCTCCTCTTGTGGTCAGGAGCCTGGACCAGGCCGGAGTCCAGGGGTCCGCCAGGGCTGCGTGCTCACCTGGAGGCTGGCTGGGGAAGGGCGGCCCTGACACTCTGGCAGAATCCCGTTCTTGGCCTGGGACTGAGGTCTCTGAAGCCTGCTGGCTGTCCCGGGCACCTGTTCCTGGCACGCGAACCCTCCATCCTGAAGGCCCCACCTGTCGGCTGCTCAGGCTTCTGACCTCTGACTCTTCAGACCCTGATGGCAGATTCGTGGCTGCCTAGGGTGTGTGTGTGTGGCAGGGCAGTGACTTGCCATGGATCGAGCACTGCTCCAGGGTCTCAAGCGCTGAACGGTGCCCCTGACRGGGTACCCTTGACTGTCCACTTCACGTCCTGTCGCTGGAGAGCCAGAGGCAGGTTGGCCTCTGTAGCCCGGGAGGTGGTGGGACGTGAGCATGCGCCACGTGACGCCCTGACCTGGGCTGGATCTCCACAGCCTCCAGAGGGCCCGCTCAGCCCTCGAGCCCACAGCCTCTCAGGAGGCCTCCTCGGCTCGCCCGGCGCCACCCTTGAGGATGATGCTCTGCTCCGGTCTCTCCCACAGTCGGCCTGCGGGATGGAGTCSGCGCCTGGCCTCACAGAGCAGCGTGGTCAGAAGGCAAGGAGCCCCGCGAGGGAGCCAGCGCCGTGGCAAGCGCTCCCGGTCCTGTCGGAGCAGCAGTCCAAGGACGTGGAGCTGGTGCTGGCCTATGCTGCGCCCATCCTCGACCAGCGCCAGACCTCACGCCTCCTCAGGGAGGTGTCGGCCATCCACCCACTGCCCGCCCACCCTCACCTCAAGCGGGTGCGGCGCAGCCCAGATGCCCACGGCCCCCATGCCCTGGAAATGCTGCTCTGCCTGGTGGGACCCGCCACTGGCTCGTGCTCTCTGGCCGAGCTCCTCCCCAGGCCAGCTGTGGACCCCCAGGGACTGGGACAGCCCTTCCTGGTGCCTGTGCCTGCCTGGCCTCCCCTGACCCGGGGCCAGTTTGAAGAGGCTCAAGCCCACTGGCCCATATCCTTCCACGAGGACAAGCAGGTGACCAGCGCCCTGGCCGGGCAGCTCTTTTCAGCCCAGGAGCGGGCAGTGATGCAGAGCCACATGGAGCGGGCCGTGCAAGTGGCCCAGCAGGCAGCAGCCCGAGGCTTGAGGGCCGTGGGAGCCGTCGTGGTGGACCCGGTCTCGGGCCACGTGCTGGCCACGGGCCATGACTGCAGCTGTGCCGGCAGCCCCCTGCTGCATGCCGTCATGGTGTGTGTGGACCTGGTGGCCCAAGGCCAGGGCCGGGGCACCCGCAGCTTCAGGCGCCACCCAGCCTGCTCCTTCGTCCCAGCTGCAGCCCAGTGTGTGCGGGTAGGCGCCGTGCGTAAGCTGGAGGAGGCTGAGGCCGAGGACGGCCTGCCCTATGTGTGCACCGGCTATGACCTCTATGTCACCCGTGAGCCCTGTGTGATGTGCGCCATGGCCCTGGTGCACTCCCGCATCCAGCGGGTCTTCTACGGGGCACCCTCGCCTGACGGTGCCCTGGGCACACGCTTCCGCATCCACACCCAGCCAGGCCTCAACCACCGCTTCCAGGTCTTCCGCGGGGTGCTCGAGGACCAGTGTCGCTGCCTAGACCCCGACACCTAGGCCCGGTGTCTTCCTGTTTCTGGAAGGTTCTCTGCTCCTGCCCAGTCTTGGCCACATTGGAGACTGAGGGTCCTCCCCTCCACGGCCGCCCTTCAATCTGTGCTAAGGATGCTTACCRCCTGCCTTGGCCCATGCCCCAGGGCCAGGGCTTGTTGCTGGGTGGCTGACGGGCAGTCCGGGCTCGCTCTGCTTAGAGCGAGCCGGGGAGGGTCCTCTCTGGGCCTGCATGGCTGTTACCGTCTCTGTGGTTGTGTCAGAAACAGCGTTCATGTCTGCAAATAAACTATCCAGAACCAAGCTGCTACCTGCTTAGAGCACCCGTGTGGCCGCCGGGGAGGGAGCCTGGGGCCAGGTGGGACTGGACACGGTCTGCATGTCAGGCTTGGGACCTCGAAGGGAGGGCCTCTACCTAGTGATCCAGGGGCTCGGACGTGTTTCCCACGGCAGGGGAGGCCCCAGGTGGCACCTCTCTGGCCTCTGGAAGTCTTTAGCAGTGTCTGAGCACTGACCAGGTCAGGGTCAGCTTGCCTGAAGGCTTCTCCTGGGCTGTCCCACTCACTGAATGTCATGGGTGGTGAGGAGGACCCCACAAGGGCCAGGGCGTGTGTCCCGCCTGGGGCGGGTGGGCTCTGCTGAAGTTAGGGTCTCTCCAGCAACGTGCCTTGCCTGACCCAAGACATGCCTGTCCTGGAGGACCCAGCCCTTGGGAGCAGGCAGGGAGCCCTGGCCGTGAGCCCCCTGACCTCCAGGAGGGGGGCGCCAAGCTGGGCTGGGCCAGAGCAGAGGTGAGTCCCGAGGAGGAGCCAGTGCAGGCCCTGCTGGAGGTGGCCCTGCTGCTGTGCCAGGCGGGGGGTCAGGATGGAGGACTTGGCTGGGCAGCACAGGAGGCCCATTCCTGGATTGCTCCTGCCGTGGCGCTGCCCGCCCGCTCCTTGGTGGGCCACATACAGCATGGCGCGTGGGCCTGGCCTGTTCCTCCGAGGCCCGAGAGCTGGCCAGACCCTCTCAGTCGTGCCAGCTGGTGGCTGCCTGGGTCAGGGCTGTTCTGTGACTCGAGCCTGGGTGCCCCTGGGGTTGGATGGGGTCCTCCTTGTGAGGCTCACAGGGAGAACTGTGGCCTCTGGTCACACAGCAGTGAGCCTGGACAGTCCTGGGGGCGGCCGAGGTGGTTAGAGCCATCTAAGGGGGAGGCAGGAAGGGTGGCGGGCTGGTGGGGAGAGACGGGGGTGCCCTGGGGCTGRGGGTGGAGGGGGCAGCCCTGCCCTTCCCCTCCAGGTGCTCAGCTGCGCCCAGGGAAGTGGTGACTGGCAACCCCACATCTGGCCAGTGGCGCCTGCTGAGCCAGAATCCCAGCTGAACTGGCCTTGCGGGCAGGAGCGTAGGACAGTGGGCACCCCTTCCTGGGTGGCCCTGGGCCTGCAGCTGGGCATGGGATGGCTCTGACGTCCTGTGTCCTTTCAGGTGGCTGCAGGATTCAGCCCTCGCCGGGCCAGCCAGAGCAGAAATGTCAGGTGAGTACCCAGGAAGTGTCCCTCGGCAGAAGGGACCCCAGCAGCTCTCACATGCGCCCCAGCCCCACCCTGTTATCCTGGGGTCCACTCTCTGAACCCTCTGCCCGGGGACACCTTGGGCCACTCCTGTGTCCTCTGGCTTGGAAAGAGGAGGGTGCCAGGCTCTCTGCGGCTGCCTCGCGCCTCCTGCGCTCTGCACCTCCCCAGGGTTCTGCCCTGGCTGTGCCTGCTGCCTGCCCCTCTCCCTGAGTCCACGGCTCTCCTCAGGCCGCAGCGCTGAGGTCCGGCCCCTGTGGCACTTGCCCTCTTGCCTCTGCGGGCTCACAGCTCCACRGCAGCCTCCCGCATGGGAGCCCCTGAGACTGGGCCTCCTCCTCTGGTCTGCTTCTCGCCTCTCGGCCCTCAGGGTGCCTCCTGAGAGGAAGCCTGGAGCCTGTGGGTGCAGCTGCCCGCCCACCTGCCATGTGCGAGTCATGCCCAGAGGTTCTGCCCGCCTGGCCCTGGGGCTGCTGTGGGCCTCGGTTGGAATAGATCTGTGCAGGTGACCCTGAAGGTGAGGTCACACTGGTGTAGGTGGGCCTCGTCCAGTGACTGGGTCCCTGAAAAAAGGGAAATTGGGACAGACGCAGGAAGACGGCTGTGTGAGGTAGGACAGGTGACATGCCCAAAAGCCCAGGGACAGGAAGGGCCCTCTCTGGAGCCTGTGCGGGGAGGTGGCCCTGCCCAGCCCCGGACCTGGGATTCCAGCCTCCGGGACGGAGAGGTGAATGCCAGCGGCCTGAAGTCACAGAAGCCTGAGGAGGCGACCTCCCAGGCATGGTCTGTGTTGGCATGGTGGGGGACACCCCTGCTGAGTGCCCCCCGGCACGTGGGAGGCTCCGTCCTCGGCACCACAGTAAGATCAGCGAACCATGGAGGGGTGGTGTCCGCCTCCAGCAGAGACGCTGGGGAGAGAGATCCCACTAGAGCTCTGGTCGGGATAGGACGCGGGCCCCTGGCTTTACCCAGGTGCCGCACGCTGGTCTCGTGAGGCCCAGGGAGTCACCGTCCCCCTTCTCTGGCTCCTGAGGCCCACAGCCCTTGGCTCGGCCCCCTCCACCAGCCCAGGGCCAGCAGCGCAGCGTCTCCAGGCCCTCTGACTCTGGCCCTCCTGCCTCCTCAGAAGGACCCTGTGGTGACCTGGGTGACCCCAGCTCAGGGCCCTTCCGCAGTAGGCAGCAGGTGCTGGCCCCGAGGGCACAGCGCAGCCAGCCAGGCGGACGGTCACCCTGGGGCTTCTCCTTGCAGGGAAGGAGAACAACTTCCCGCCCCTGCCCAGGTTCCTGCCGCTCAAGCCCTGCTTCTACCAGGACGTCGCCAGCGAGATCCCCGCGGAGCACCAGGTGCTGGTGAAGAGGATCTTCCGGCTGTGGATGTGTGAGCCCTGGGCCCCACGGGCAGCGGGCGGCAGGACGTGGGGGCTCCGGGGGGGCCCAGGAGGCGGGGGCCTGCTGCATGCCTTCCCCGGTGACTGGTGGGCAGAGCCCGGCTTGGCCCGGGGAGTGAGTGGCTTGCAGGACGGCAGCCTGGCAGAAGCCCTTTGTCCACCCGGCCAGTCTCAGGGCCCTGGTGGCCCCTGTGGTTAACAGGGCCTACTCCCTGGGCCGGGCCTGGCCCAGTGTCCTGGGTTGCCCAGGTAGGGTGGTGCAGCGGGGGACTGGACAGCCCAGGCTGGCGGGGTCCTCTGTGGCGGGCCTTCTGCACCCCAGCCGGCCTCCCTCCCCACAGTCTACTGTGCCACCCTGGTGGTGAACCTCGTCGCCTGCCTGGCCTGGTGGATCGGCGGAGGCGCAGGCGCCAACTTCGGCCTGGCGCTGGTCTGGCTGCTGCTCTTCAGCCCCTGCAGCTACGTGTGCTGGTTCCGTCCGGCCTACAAGGCCTTCCGGTAGGTGCCCAGGCTTGCCGGGCTGTCTCCTCTCAGGGTCTCTGGACACCTCTGGTGCTGCTGTCTGGCTGCGCTGAAGGGTGGGTGGCTCAGATGCCCATGGGGGTGTCCTGGTCACCCTTGCTGTCCCTTCATGCAGAGGGAGCCTGGGCTCGTCTCCCGTCTAGCTTGGTCCTGAGGTTGGACCCCAGGGACAGCTTACCACTGAGTCACTCCCTGCCTTTTTTTTTTAGTTTTTTCTTAGTTGAGACGGACAGGATGCCTTCATTTTATTTATTTTTGTGGGTGCCGAGGGCTGAGCCCGGTGCCCGCACGGGCCAGGCAGCCGCTCCATCACTGAGCCACAACTGTAGCCCCTTTTGTCTTTTTTTTTTTAATCTGGAGAGAGGGCCTCACTRAGTTGCTGAGGCTGGCTTTGAACTTGCGATCCTCCTGCCTCGGCCTCCCCAGTTACTGGGATGACGGCCTGGCCGCCGTGCCCGGCTTCTCCAGGTGGACAGGCCGCAGTGTCGGGGCTGACAGGCTGCAGCCCGCAGGCCACGTCCAGCTGTTGCCGACTCACAATTGACGACCCCGGTGCTCCTTGCACCACCTGCGTGGTCTCCAGTGTGTTACTGGACACTGCAGATGCCCACCGGGTACCTCCAGAGCAAGCCCCAGCCCTCGCAGCCCTGCTCCTGCAGGTCCACGTCTCATCTCTGGCCTCCCCTGTCCTGGCCTCTCCTGTCACGGGGTCACACGTGTGGTCTGGTGTGTCTGGCTGTCCCTGAGCACTAGGTCCTCGGGTCTGAGCGTGCTGCAGGTGTGCATGGAGCATGTCGGGGTTCATCCTTCTGTGGGTGGACCCGGGGCGGCCTCCTCCGATGCCTAGGTGTGTCACTGCTGTAGACGCTGCCCTCAGCAGGCCCCCAGTGACTTGGGCACGTGTCATGCTTGCTCCTGGGTTCCCTCAGCCCTAGACTCAGGGCTTGAACAAGACAGGACAGCGCTCATCGCCGGGCTGACCCCCAGGGCCGCGGGGACCGCAGGAGCACAGCTGGGAGCAGGAAGGGGCGCGGAGCCTCCCTGCCCTCCCCAGATGCCCTCCCTTCTGCCTCACTGGACACAGCCCGGGCTGCGCAGGGTCCCCCGCACTGCGCGGAGTGCAGCAGCTTGTGCAGGGCGCRGAGGGCTTACCTGTCTCTTCCTAGCAAAGACCCAGGGCTGCGGTGCCCCTCAGAGATCGGCGGTCAGGGTGGTGTGGCCGGTGCGGCGCCCTTCCACGGAGCGTTTAGGCCTTGGTGGTCAGTGCCCAGGTGGAGCCCATGTAGTGATGCGTGAAAGTCCGTGAGCTGCCCAGTATCCCAGGACTCCGAAGCCCCTGCGCCCGCCCTGCTGGCCTCACCTTCCCGGTGGGAGCGCCGGGCCCAGTCACGGTCACCTCTTCTGTCCCCTCCAGAGCCGACAGCTCCTTTAACTTCATGGCCTTCTTCTTCCTCTTCGGAGCCCAGTTTGTCCTGACTGTCCTCCAGGCCGTTGGCTTCTCAGGATGGGGCGCGTGGTAAGCTGCTGGTGCCTGAGTGGGTGGGCACCGCCRGGCAGGCCTGAGCGGCACAGCGCACAGGGAGCAGGGGCCTGGCCGCGGGGCCCTGGCTCCACCTGTGGCCACCCCCGTCCCCGACRTGCCCTTCCTCCTCTGCAAGGTGGGCTCCTGGCTCCCAGGTCTCTGCAGGCTCCCTTCCCAGTGCCCACAGAGGCCCACTGGGGAAGCCCTGGCCCAGGTGGGACAGGAAGGACGTGCAGGGACACTGGAGGGAGAGGGGTGCAGGGCCAGCAGAGCAGGCTGTGGAGTGGACACAGACGAGTACCGCACTAGAAAGGGCCTCCGAGGGCCGAGCCCTCCTCTCTTCACCCCAGACTGGCCGGGTCGTCCCTCCTCCCTCCAGCTGTGCCCACCATCCTCCAAGACTGTCCAGGGCCAGGGTGGGAGGGGAGGGAGGGAGCGCAGGGGGAGGAGGGACGAGGAGGCTTCCCTCAGGGTCAGAGGCCCAGCTCGTGCTGGGCTTTTACAGGTGGTGGTGATTTTGTATCATTTGATTAATATAAAAAAGTTAAAAAAAAAAAAAAGGGAATAAAAAGGAGTAGAGCAGGAAGGAAGGAGCACTGAAGTCTTTCTCGATAGTACTCCTTGGCCCTCCACTAGGGCAGCTGACAGGCAGCACTCTCACTTCTCCCCTGCACTTGGAGCTCGCCATTGTGGTGCAGGACAAGGACCCCTGGCCTGTGCCCCTCAGGTGGTCAGTCACCTAGTAGTCCTCGAATGCCCAGTCTTCCAGTCACCATTTCTTATTGGTTAGTCAGAGCTCTTTGTATGTGAAGGACAGCAGGCCCTGGCCCAGTACTCATGCTGCAGCTCACTCTCCTCTGCAGTGGCTGGCTGGCAGCGATCAACTTCTTTCAGACCAGCATTGGGGCTGCCGTGGTCATGCTGCTTTCAGCCATCATGTTCTCCCTGTCTGCCGCCATGATGGCAGTTGCCATCATGAAGGTGAGTCCTTGGGGCCTGGGATGTGCAGCCCTTGCCCCTCCCTTCCCGTCACTAAAGTTGGGAAAGTTGGGGGAAACCAGGCAGGGCCTCCAGTCTCCTCCCAGGGAGTCCCAAGGGTGCACTTGGTCCCCACAACACACCTGTGGAAAGTCACTGGGAGCTCACAGAGACCCAGCGCCTGGGGTCCGTGGGGGACACGCAGCCCTCTGCCTGGCGCGTGCTGAGATCCCAGATCCAGAGGCGCCCAGGGGCTGAGCGGAAGCCACATTGTTGGCCCCACGGCTCAGGCCCAGGAGCCCCTCCTGTCACTGGGTGTGGAGGCCCCAAGGCCAGGTCTCCAGACGCCTGGCCAGCCTCATAGCCCCTCCTGAGCTCGGCCTCAGGCTGCAGGGCAGGCTCTGGGTCCTGAGACAGGCGCACAGACGGGCAGACCGCCCCCCAGGCCCAGCTGCAGGACGTCAAGATGGAGAAGCTGTTTTTCACTTACTGAGACCACCACCATCTCGGGAGGCGGGCAGCCCTGTGCAGTGGGGAGACCTGGGTCCTGGAGGGGGCGCAGCCGTGCCCAGAGCCCGGTGGAGGTCTGTGGCCGGATGTGGAYGGGGGGTTCACGAGTGCCAGGCTTCACCAGCACACACCTGCCCCTGCCAAGACCTGCCCGTGGGGCAAGGCTGAAGGTGAGGGGCTTGCACCAGGCGGGGGCTGTGTGCCCAGGGCTCGAAGGAGGCCCCAGCCCTGCCCTGCAGAGCAGCCCTGTGAAGCCGCCCTGTGAAGCCGCGAGGCCCCGCCCTGCTGCCCTGCCCCTCCAGTCTCCACTGACTGTAATCAGGCCGCTGGCCAGCCCCATGAGGGCAGGGCCAGGTAGAGAGGTGGATGTTGAGCATGCATCAGGCCCCAGTTCTGTCCCCAGCACCAAAATAAAACGTAAGCACGGCCTACTTGACACCAGCAGTGGGGGCTACCGCCCCAGCCTGGCCCCGCCCATGACTGCCTGAGGACCCCTTCCTGTGCCGGCTGCCGCAGCCCTCTTTCTTGCGTTGTGCAGGTGGGCAGTCGGCACAGCTGCCCCGTCCACTGGCGTCCACTCGGGCCTCATCCCCCTCCCTGGGGTAAAGCATGCATTCCTCCTGCGTGGCCGCTGGGGTGCTGCCGAGGCCGAGTGCACCTGTGGGCGGAGGGCAGCCCCCTGCAGGCCTATGCTGACCATCGCTCTGGGGTCCCAGTGGCCAGGGACGTGGTGAAGGAGCCAGGGTGGCTGTGTTCCCAGGCTGTTGGCAGACACCCACAGGAAGAAGGCGCCTGCCTGGCACGGGCAGTCCCTGCGCGGGCACAGACCCACTGGCTCCTGCCTGGTTCCTCTGACCCTGTAGGTGCACAGAATCTACCGTGGGACTGGTGGAAACTTCCAGAAGGCACAGACGGAGTGGAGCACCGGTGCCTGGCGGAACCCCCCTTCCCGGGAGGCCCAGTACAACAACTTCTCGGGGAACAGCCTGCCCGAGTACCCCACTGTGCCCAACTACCCGGCCAGTGGCAGCCAGTGGCCTTAGAGGGAGCCGCTGGCCAAGCTGCTGCCGGCCTTCTCTGCCACTCCCACTCCTGTTGCCCTCGGGTCCCCATGGCCCTCCCCAGCCAGGGCCTGTGGACCCCATGTTCCTCTTGCCCCAACAGCAGGGCTCCTGGCCAGCCCTGCCTGGCGGCTCTCTGGCCTCTGCTGTCCAGCAGGGCGTCTCTTGTTCCTGAGAACACGTGGCCACTCAGCACCCACTGTGGCAGACACAGCCTCTGTCTCCAGGCCACAGAGGGCCCAGCTGAGGGGCCCCAGGGGGACAGTGGCAGCAGGCTGGTGCCCACCGTCCATCCAGAGTTGCTGACACAGTGTCCTCGCTCTTGGCTCCTTATGGCTTCTTTGGTGCCAACCAGGAAGAGGCCTTGCAGGGACCAGGTCCCCGCGGGTGGCAGAGGTTTGGTGCATGTTCGGCCCTCTGTGTCTTTGTCATCCTCCTACGTCCCTGCTCTCCTGCAGCCAGTGACTCATGGGAGCAGCCCACAGGGATGGCCAGAGGCAGAACCCACCTCCCCAGTGACCTGCACTGCCCGTCTACCCATGCAGCAGTCCTCCCCATGCGTCTTGCCGGACAGGGCCTCTGGAGCTGCACTGTGGCTGTGGCAGTCCCTCCCCTCCTGGGCTAGCCCAGCCTGCACCTGCGTCCCAGGGTGTGGCCCCCCAGAGCAGGGCAGCCARGGGGCCCTGCCTCCTGCTCAGGAGCCCAGAGGACCCTGGGGGACATTGGGCAGGCAGAGGCGGAGCCCCAGGATGGCCCCCCCAGGGCCAAGCTGTGCCTTACAGAGGACTTGTCCCTCCACTCCTGCCCTCCGGGGCGCTGTGTCCTTGGAGGAGCCGGGTGCACCCTGGGCTGGGCTCAGTGGTGGAGCGCGCCGAGCACAGGAGGCCCTAGTTCCATCCTCAGTTCACGTTAAAAGAATTGATATAATAAAGGTATCGTGTCTACCCACACTACAGAATTATTAAACAAAAAGGGCCAAAGTGTCTCACGGACATGTCTGTGTCCCCTTTGGTGACATCTGGGCATAAAATCTTCCCTTTGGTGGCCTTTCTGTGCTGCTGGCCAAGACTTCATGGTGCCCAGCTGCCACCCCTTGCAGGGCAGGCCCTTCCCAGCACACTGGGGGTCACCGGCTCTGGCCAGGACCACTCAGGCCAGGCACCCACGTTCTCCACCCCAGAGCAGAGGGGAAGGCAGCCTGGTGCCATGCAGGCCCAGGGCCCCCAGAGCCCCACGGCCCCGGCCAGCCTCTTGCCCGCAGAAGCCTGCCCTGCCTGTGACTGTCCCCCTGGGTGGCAAAGCAGTGCAGCCACCATGGGGAAGAGCCTCGAACTGCCAGTAGCACCTGCCCCACCCGCCAGCCCTGCACCCTCAAGACTGGTGTTTTTTGTTAGGTGAAAATATTCTGGAAATAAATCCTTTTTTTTGCATCAGACTGAGCAAGGGACTGTTTGTGGTGTGTGACACATGTGTGTGTGTCCCTAGGTCTCCTGTCCACCAATGGGTCCCAGAGCATGTGGCCAGCGTGGCCCGTGTCCAGTCCTCAAGGTGGCTCTACCATGCCCACTTCCCTGACGGGCATTCTGCCTGGCAGCAGAGCCGAGCCTCCAGGGTGCAGGGCCTCGCCGTCCCTCCACAGCCTCGCGCTGCCTCCTCTTTGTGCTCAGCGTGTTTTGTTTGGGAGGCATCTTCGCGTGTGTGTGCCTGTGTCAGGAGTTACGGGTGCCGCTGAGCACACAGGCGGGCCCCTCCCAGCCTCTGCCTGACACCCAGACCTCCTGCCTGTCCTCCCACCCGTTTCCCCTGCACCGTTGCCCCGCCACTTGGTACTAGGGGCACCTTGGGCTCCCAGAGCTTGCCCCAGCACGTGGCCCAAACTGCCCTGGCCATGCCTCCCCGACCCCTCGGGAGCGCATCCCGACCACAGACCAGAGCCCCATGAAACCCCCATCACACTCCCCGAGATTGTCCTTCTCCAGTCATTCCCGAGTGTCCTCTGCCCATCTTCCCCTCCATCCATCTTCCTGGGAGACTCCAGATGGCTGTCTGCCAGCCCCTGCCAAATAGCCTTGGCAGACAATGGAACAATGGAAGTGGGGTCACTGGGGGTCCCACTGTGGACCGAGAACCCAGGCAGGAYACAGGCTTCCCTCTGAGGGCCCTGTCCCTTTGGGTCCCAGGATGGTCAAGAGAATGAGGAAACCATGATGGAAAGACAAGAGCCTGGCTGCCCTGGGGATCCCTGGTGGCCACTGCCCCGGTAGGAGTCCGCAGGCCAGGTGACAGTCTTGTTGTACTGGTCCTGGTCCCTCTCTGTACATCCCCGTGCACAAGTGCCTGTGTGGACAATGCCCTGCCTTCTGGCTTCCAGTTGTGTGCGTGGAAGGGCCTGGCCCTGGGAACTATGGTGGGCCCCTCTAGAGGCCCTGTCTCTGCGGGCCCCCGTCTGCAGTCTGTGCCCACCCTGTGCTGCCCTTGGCCCCGGGAGCTTGGTCCTTCCATGCCGAGGGCCTTCTCCCTCCCTTCCTTCCTTCCTGGCACCCAGGGCCTGGAACAGGGCAGGCGGGCACTCTGCCGCAAGCTGCCCGCAGCCTGGTCAGCCTGCCTCTGCTGCTGGTTGCTGAGCAGCACAGACTGCACAAGCTTCAAAGGAAGGAGGCTTATTTCGGCTCATGGTTCTGGAGGCCCCCAGTGAAGGGCCCACATTGGGTGCCCACCATTGGGTGCCGGCCAATTGCTGGCAGGGTCCCAGGGTGGCACGGGCCATTGTGTGTCCAGAGGCAGCAGCACATGCGTGCATTGTTGGTCTTTTTATTTATTTACTTATTTTCAGTTGTAGGTGGACACAACACCTTTATTTTATTAACTTTATGTGGTGCTGAGGATGGAACCCAGGGCCTCGCACGTGCTGGGCGAGCGCGCTACCGCTGAGCCACCACCCAGCGCTTGGCCCCTGTCTTTTGTCCAGTGCTGKGGATGGAACGCTGTCTCCAGCACAGAAACGGTGTCTTTGATGGGAGGAGAGGCAKAGTCTGTGGCCACCACGGATTTGAAGGACTGACTTTTCCTTCATGTCCCCTTGCTGGTGACCTGTGGCCATCCCTTGCCTGGGCCTAGGTGCCAGGTTAGCACCACCAGGCTCACACAGAGCTGGCCTCGGGGTGGGTGTCGGGGCAGGAGACACCTGGGGAACAGGCCCGTCATCTTCCCTGTGTTCTGAGCACCTTGTCCACTGTGGGCTTCCCTCCACAGCTGGTCTCAGTGACAGGAGACACAGGGAGACCTCGTCACTTTTCGGATTCCTCAGCACCAATGTGCCAGGTCACCGGGGCAACAGCCAAGGACACATCACAGAAAAAGCCACCTCCCAGCGGGCTCCAGCATCAGCCAGGACACCGCTGCTCCGGGAAGCAGCCAGCCCCCGAGCAGCCCGTGCCTGAGCCGGGCGAGGCTGGCAGAGCCGCAGTCGCGGGCTTCACCCAGCACAGTCCATCTCACACGGGTTCACCAGACCACCAGCTCGCCCACACAGGCTGAGGGCACACCGGCAGCCAGCTCTGTGCTGCCGTGACAAAACCCCAGCCCAGGGTGACCACGAGGGAAGGGTTACTTCACTCACGGTTCTGGCAGTTCAAGGCCAAGATCAGGCGGCCCTGTGTGTGGGAGTGAGGTCAGGCACCATGGTGGGAACCCATGCTGGAGAGAGTAGTCCCAGGACCACCTGGTAGCACATGGACCTTCGGCCCCAGGCCACACCAGACACACATGCATTTACCCAGAGGGCACAGCGGAGAGGCACCTGTCCTCTGGATGCCCTGCCTACAGGAAAGGCAGGCCAAGTGGCCCCCGCCCGGCTCCTGGGCCCAGCTCTGGAGGGCTTGCCTCACATGGGGTGGTGTGCGGGGTGGAAGAGCAGGCCTGCTCCTCTCGGGTGCCCTCCAGACACTGGAGCTGGGCCGGCAGCCTCGTCTCCGGGGGTGCCTGCTGCCTCCAGCCCGGTGCTCGGCCCACCAGGACTGCAGCTTGCATGGCCAAGGAGCAGGGAACAGCTGGAGTGGGCACACCGAGGGGAGCTCAGAACTGGTGTCCAGTGGGCTGGAGGGTCGGGGACACCAGTTCAGGTCAGCCAGGGACTCTGCTTCCTCCTCCTGGGCATGGCCAGCCCCTTTGGATGGCTTCCTGTGAGCAGGTCCATCTGGCAGGCCAGGCCAGGCCTACTCTGTCTTTGAGTGGACATGGCTGAGGCCTGCGCACCTGGCGAAGGGTGACAAGGGCAGAGGCTCCCTGCCTCTTTTTGCCCTTCTGGGAGTGCACTCGGCCCTTTGTCCCTGGAGCGGCTTCAGGAAAACACCATGTCCTGAGTGTCAACCTTGGGCGTGAGTCACTTACTCCTGCCGTCCACTGCTCCCAACCTGATCCAGACCGTGAGGTGCTGACTAGGTCTGCTCATCCTCTCAGAGGATGTCTGCGTGGGGGGTGGCGAGACGGGCCCCTGGCCACTTGAGCTGGGAAAGCCCTCTGTATGCCCAGGTGCCAGCAGCAGTGACCTGCTCAGCCTTCCCTCTTGGCTGGCAATGGCAGGCCACCAGCACAAGCTTCCACAGGGCACCCTCCCCCCTCCCAGGGAGCTCCCTCCTGACCTCCAGCTCCTGGGGTCCAGGCAGCCTTGGGATTGTGGCTGCACCCACCCACCCCTGACTGTATCCAAGTGACCCCTCTATGTGTCTTCTTTCAAGAACACCCATTGTTGGATTCAGGACACTGGAATTTTATTTTATTTATATTTATTTTTGGTACTGGGGATTGAACCCAGGGACACTTAACCACTGTGCGACACTGTCGGTCCTTTTTATTTTTGGACAGGGTCTCACTAAGTTGCCCAGGCTGGCCTCAGACTTGTGATCCTCCTGCCTCAGTCTCTGGAGTAGCTGGGAAAGACAGGCACAAACACCGCGCCCAGCTTATGACTTCATGTTTTTTAATTCCAGGTATTGACCCCACAGAGCCACATCCCCAGCCCTTTGTGTATTTTATTTAGAAACAGTTCTCGCTAAGTTGCTAGTCTGGCTTTGAACTTGTGATCCTCCTGCCTCAGCCTCCTGAGCTGCTGGGATTACAGGTGTGTGCCTCCGCATCTGGCTATGACCTCAATTTAATGTAACTAATTACACCCAGGATAACACTTATTTTTCCCCCCAAAAGTTCATATTCTGAGGTTCTAGGCGGACATAAATTTTGGAGAGGATACTTAGAGGAGAAAAATTTTATCTGGGGCTCAGTTTTAGAGGTTTAGTTTATGATCCGTGGCTGTTGCTCTGGGGCTGAGCTGAGGCAGAACGTGACGGAGTGTGGAGAGGCCACCTGGAAGCAGAGCAGGTGAGGAGCCAGGGACCAAACCCAACCCCCAAGGGCACCCAGTGACCCACACCCTCCAGCCACACCCACCTGCCTACAGTCACCACCCAACGATCCATTCAGACAATCCATCAGAACCAACCATCAGGCTGGGGATGTGGCTCAAGCGGTTGCGCGCTCGCCTGGCATGCGTGCGGCCCGGGTTCGATCCTCAGCACCACATGCCAACAAAGATGTTGTGTCCGCCGAGAACTGAAAAATAAATATTAAAAAAAAAAAAAAAAAAAAAAAAAAAGAACCAACCATCAGTCCCCTGATTAGGTTACAGTTCTAACCATTTCACCTCTGAACATTCCTGCACTGTCGCATGAGCTTTTTGGGGGACACAGTATCTGCACCATAACATCATTCACCCCTTGAACTTAGCTTTAGGGAGTGGGTGAATAGGCCGCCCTCCTGGCAGCTGCTGGGGGTCCCTGATAAGGCCCTGCATGGCCCAGGCTCAGGGTGTCTGTCTTGGGTTTGCTGGACTTTCTGTTAAAAGTCCAAAGCTTCAGGAAACTCAGGTAACCGGGGATGGTCAGTCACCCTGTGCCGTTATCTAGGCAACAGGAGGCAAGACGTTCTAGAAGGCCAACCAGGTCAAGTCCACCATCTGTTCCGCCATTAATACCAGACAGGGCCAACACCCCCGCTGCCCGTGACATTCACAGATCAGGTTGGCTCTTGCTGTGCCAGTCAGAGTGGTGGCCAGCTCAACCCTGTGCTTCCTCACACCTGCCTCCATCAGGGGCCCCACAGCCCTCACGCCTTCTGGCCCTGAGGTGCACAACATCTAATCACAGGAGATGGGCCCCCAGTCAGTCCTGTGTGTTCCAGGGCACAGCTCTACATCCTGCAGCTACTGTGATTGGGGTGGCACAGTGTTGGTCCCCACCTAATGTGACACTGGGAGGCAGTGCTCTTGCCAGTTAAGAGCAGCAGCATGGGAGTTTCCAATCCCAGACAGAGCGGGCAATTCATTTACTTTCCACATCTTGAAAATGGGAATATGCAAATCAGCAGAGGAAAGGGTCTTGAGGGGTGACCCAGAGTCCCCTGTCTACAGCAGGTCACCTGGGCCTCCCATGGCAAGTAGGTCTCACACCAGTTGGGGAAGGAGGCCTGGATACCGGAACATTAATTGAATTTGGTTTGATAAATATTAACCAAGGCACCTGCTTATCCTGGGGCTGGTGCTGGACACCTGGATATAGCCATAGTGAGGCAGAGAAGGTGGGCCCCAAAGATCCCCAAAAGGGCTGTTTTCTACCCCAGCCAGCTTTCCCTAAATGGCTTCCCCACGACTAACCAAAAGTAATCAGGTACGTATGGAGCCCATTTGAAGTGGACCGAATGAGGGCCAGGTGTGGTGATGCACACCTGTAACCCCAGCAATCGAGGACACTGAGGCAGGAGCATCACAACTAGACAGTTCAGCAAGACCATGTCTCAAAAAGGGCGGGGTATCTCAGTGGTGGGGCACTTGCCTTGCACGTGTGATGCTCTGGGTTCCTTCTCCAGCAGCAGCAAAACAGGGTCAGCACAGAAGGCACTTCTTCTTGTGTGTCCCTGGGGACTGAATTCAGGGCACCTGAGCCACCTCTGTGGCCCTTTGGAGACAGGGCCTCGCTAAGTCACCCACCCTAGCCTGGACCTGGGTTCCTCCTGCCCCACTGGGATGAAGGAGGTGTCCCAACCACGGGCACCATTTGCTTTTTCAAATATCCCACGATTAGAAATACATTTTCTGGGCTGGGGATGTGACTCAAGCGGTAGTGCACTCACCTGGCATGTGTGGGGCGCTGGGTTCGATCCTCAGCACCATATAAAAATAAAATAAAGATGTTGTGTCCAYCAAAAACTGAAAAATAAATATTAAAAAATTTAAAAAAAGAAATACATTTTCTGGTCCTATGCTAACACTTTTTCATTTTTCATGTGGATTCTTATGATGTACCCCTGGGCTATCCTCGATTTACAAAAATGCAGAGGACTTAGAGGGTAAGTGACTGATCCTGAGTCACATGGTCCCAACCTGGTACAGCCTCAGCCAGGCCTGTGTCCTGCATTCTTCCAGCTGCATGGTCACTCTTGCAGGAGCATGGCCAGAGCTGAGGTTCAAGGTGCAAATGCCCCCAGAGGAGGCACCCATGTTGTGGTTGAGTGCTTGAATGCTGCAGAACACACCTGCTACCTACACCTCCCAGGGCTGGCCCCCAGAACACTGCCATTCTACCTTTTCATCGGGCTGAACTCTCTCTCCTCTGCAGTTTTAAGTGGCCACAGACCTGCAGGAGAACCCTTCTGATTACATTTAGCCTTTAGAGTCTGGCTTGCTCTGGTCATTTGGCTCAAGCAAACCCCCCAAAAAGGGGGTGACTGTGGGGATGAAGCGCAGGAATGCAAACTCCCCCAGGGTGCCCTTCCACACACCGTTTTAAACATCTGAAACCACCGTGTCCATTTATTTCTTGTGCCTCCCCCTTCCCTGGGCCATGCTGCCAACAGACTAGCTGGCCACTCTATCCTCARAGCATTGGCAGGCATCGAGTACCTATCTGAATGGGTATGTGTCCTCCAACCTCAAAACGGCGCCCACCCGGGAGGCAGTGGGGGACATGGGGATACCAGGAACCATTTCTGGAAGCCCGGTATCCCTGCTTCCAGGGCTCCTCGTGGGGTGCCGCACTGAGGGGGCCCGGGCCCCTCCCCAGTTCCTTCCTGGGGGCGGAAGGCAGGCAGACAATGCAGGAGAGAGCACTTCGGCAACTACTCAACGGCGCGCCCGCCGCGCGCGCACGCGGCCTGCGCTTGGCACTGGACAGCGGCCCCGGGTCACTGCTGCAGGCCGGGCCGCGGGTCACGCCCGGGCTGACACCCGTCACTCCTCCTGGTCAGCGCGACCACGGCTCAGCACGGCGGGAAGTCCCCCCGTGGTAACCACAGTCCTGTGCGCACACGCGGCACTCCGCGCCGCAGCGGGGCCCTCGTGCGACGGCTCGCTCGGCGCAGCAAGACCCTCGGAACCACACCGACCACCGCGCCCACGCAAACCACGCCCCGCGGCACCACCCGCCATGACGTCAGATGGCGAGACCGTGGCGTCACAGACCYCGAGGTGGGGTGGCGCCGGGACTCGCGTCGTCATGGCGACGACGGGGCGGGCGGGCAGCGGAAGCCACGCCTCCCGGAGATTGGGATCCGCTCGGCCCCTTCCCCGCTGGCGCAAGACGCCGCGGCCGCGCGCCTCCGGCGTCCCAGAGGACGAAGGCCCAGCAGCCTCGGGGCTGCCGCAAAGCGCAGCGGCTGTCGCGAGGAAACCCGCGCTGTCGCAAAGAGACGCGCCACCGCCCCACAGGCCTCGGTCCCGCCCCACGCTGTGACGTGCGCGGCGCGCGCGTCCCGCGCCCCAGCTGCGTCTGCGCAGTGGCGCGCTCAGGTCGCCGCCCCCCGCTGGCCGACGCTGGCGGCGTAAGGCGCGCGGGCCCCGGAGCGGGCGCGGCGGAGCGGCGAGCCCGGCCCTCCCGCCGAACATGCCGAGGCCGGCCCCGTTGGCGCGGGAGCCGGAGCAGGGGCCCGAACGGGCGCCGGAGCCCGAGCCGGACCGTGAGCGCGCGCGGGGCCCGGAGCGGGGGACGCCGCGCTGCTGAGGCCGGCCGCCGCCGCCCGCGGGCCCCAGGCGGAGCGCAGGTAACTACGCGCGCGCCCGCCGCCCGGGTATCCGCCCCACGCGACCCCACRACCCCGCCCGAGCTGCCCCAGCTCGGGGCCCCCGTGAGCCCTGTCCCGTGCCGGGGACCCCGCCGTGCCACACCCGCCGACCCCGAGCTCCGGACCCTGGTGACCCCCAGTGACCCGGCTTTCTCGCCGGAGGTCCCGCGGACCCTGAGCTCCGGCCCCCGCCTCGCCCTGGGACCCCCGCCTCCACGCGGGGGAAGTGTTGCAGTCCGCGGGCCTCGTGCTGTGGACCCCGGGACCCCAACCCCACCGACCTTTCGCTTTGGACCTCCAGGCTCTGTCCGTGTCCATCATACTCCAGATCCTACTCTGTTGTGACCCCCACACTCCAGATCCTGCTGGCCTCCACTGATCCTTGCTGTCCCCAACCCACCAGTCCCTTCTCTTGAAACCCAGATTCTAGCCCACCGCCCACCCATAGGTGTTCCTCAGCCTCCTGCTCGTCCTGAGGCCCCCTGCCCACATGGTCCGATGGCCTCCTGATGTCTGGGCCTGGCTCCTTATGCCTCTCCACTCCCAGTCCTTCCCTCTTCTCCTGTGCCCCACCTCCACTGTGTGGTCCTGAAGCTTTTGAGGTGCAAAGCCCGTGGATTTGGTTCGAGAAAAGGGGTCTGTTGGGGGAACCTGTTGCGGGTGCTGCTGGGGAACTCCCAGTTCGGCTGGCAGCGTCCTCTGCCTTCCGCCCTGGCCACTGGCTTTGTTTTCCGGAAACACACAGATCAGGGAGGGAGGGGTGAGATGTCTGAGCTGGCCCTTGGGATCCTTGCCTAGATCTTCTGCCCCAACTTTCTGGGGGGAAGACTCTTGATTTGGAGGTTGGGATGGAGAGACGTGTTAAGGACCAGACCGGCTTTGGGGCAGCTGGTTCTTATTCTTCGGCCTCCGGATGGCATTGTTTGCAGGAAGCAGCCCTGGAGGGTGTGTATGTGTAGGTGGAGGCCAGCATTTTCTCTCTCTACTCATAAAGTACAGGCCTGGATCACTGTCTGAGCCCCCATCCACTGGACCTTCCACTTCTGAGGTCCTCCCTCCCCATCACTGGGACAGGCCCTGTCCTCATTGGGTGTCTCTGGCACAGAGGCTCTGGGAGCTTGTGGATGTGAGACCAGTGAGAAGATAGGAGGGCCCTCCAGTCTAGGAGGAACCCAACCACCTTTGGAGAATTCGCCCTCTCATAAGGGGCTGGGCACCCTGCCCTACCCCGCCCCAGGAGCCTTGGGGAGAGTGCAGATGGTGCACAGGACCCACAGGTTTGAAAGGGGGAAGTTTGCGGTTGTGGCTGGTAGTTTGTTTTTGTTTTCTGCTTATGTCTCCACCAAGGCTGGGTGGCGCTGACTGATGAATTTCCCAGGCAGCACCCAGAGCGCGTGCAGGCACACACAGGCCTGCTTTGGGTCTCCTGGGCTCAGATGTTGTGTTCAGCAGGTACACTGAGCTCTGGTGCTTCTTAGGAGCCATGTGTGGGAGGGCCCCCTGCAGGGGAACTGGGGGCCCCAGGGGAGGGTCAGATCTAGGGCTCAGAGGCCAGCTGAGTTTCCAGTGGGCAGGTGGGGTGAGCTCTAGGAGGAGCTGGCTCTGTTCCCCTGCTCGCCACGGTGGCCAGTGAGTCTGCAGTGGTCATCCTGCCACAGGTCTGGTCTGAACATGCTGTGTTTGCAGCAGGACCTGCCAGTATGTCAGGCAGCCTTCTGACTGGTTTGATCACCCTAGTTCCTCTGGGAAATGAGGGATGAATTGTTGTGGTAGGCTCTGGACATGTCTGGGAGGCCAGCCGGCTGCGGTGCTGTCGATGACAGTGCGGAGCTTTGTGCAGACATATTTGTGTGAGTTACCAACTCCTGTGTCGTCTTACTTTACTTCTCTTCCTTCTTTTTAATTATACGGTAATTACCTCTGGGTTGCAAAAGGAAGTAGGTGAGGCTTTTTTAAATTGAAAGTCTCCATATCTGCTCATGCCAGCTCTGGGAAGCCAGCATGCCAGCCATTAATTTGGGGATCAAGGCAAGTATGTGGTGTGCCAGACAGACATAGAGCCACTTGCACGCGTGGGAACTTACAGGTGGGCTGGTGCCCATCTGAGAAACAGGCCCAGCTAGTTGGGACAGAAGCTATGCTGGTATTTGGCATTTCCCCTGGGAGCTTCCATGGAGGAACATACGTGTGGCTTTGTTGTCCCTTTTGGGTGCTATAGAGTTGCTCCAGACCCCACAGGAGCAGCCAGCAGCCTCTCCCTCTGCAAGGGGCTCACAGTCCGTGGCAGCCTTAACTGAGGCTGTGTGGTGGGTGTGGTTGGGGAGAAGGCAGACAGAGAGGCCAGGCTGCGGGTTCTGATGGATCTTAGTGTCTGTGTGACCAGGCCTGGTGTGGGCTTTAGTCCCCTGGTAACCTTGGACAGGTCAGCATCAGCAGGTTGGTTGGCTTTCTCTTGACCTGGAGAGCAGAGAGACTCCATGCAAAGCAGGCCCTGGGCCCAGGAGACCCGGGCAGTGCTGTGGTGATGGCAGGGCACTAGCTGGGGCCTCATGCCCTGCGTAGTGTCCCGCTTGGCACTCAGAGTTATCCTACTCATGCTCAGTTGTGGCCTGCTTTCCTGGGCTGGGCGAGCCTCTTCCAGCTGGTCTGTGAGTGTCCCAGGTCATGTTTGTGGAGTAACTGTTGGTGCTGGCTTGTGGCGGCAAACACACATCTCCATGCTCAAAGGGGAGTTGTCTGGTGGTGGGGAGGGTCCCCTCAGCCTGCTCTCGTTACAGTGGCTCATGGTACTTGTGCTGTGTTGGTTCTGAGGTAGCTGCACCGCAGCACCCTGCTTCCAGAGGGACCTAGCCCCCTGCTTGGGTGGAGGAGGACCGGGGCTGTACCAGTGCCAGTGGAAGCAAGGAGGGCTGTGTTTCGTGGGAGTCCAGATGGTGGCTGGGCTGGTCTGTGGAGCAGAGAGGACACGTCTCCTGTCCTCTTGGCACCTTCCCTGTTCCTGCCAGTACTGCCAGCTCCACCTTACCTGTGTTCAGGTACTGTGACTGTGCAGGTGGCCCTGTCCTGGAACTGGCCTGGCTTTGTGGCTTTGGAGCATACCCCATTCTATATATGTGTCTACCCAGTTAGGGCACAGCTGCTCAGTGGGCTGAGGCTAGGACTTCACAGTGAGGCACTGGTGGACACCAGCAAGACTCACGAGCTCCTGAAACAGAACGGTGTACCTGGAGCGTTTGAATAGGGGACTGCCAGCCAGTTAGTACGAGCTCCTTTGGCTTCCAGTCTCCAGATGAGACTTCTCTGACTGCTGACACTTGGTGTGGGTGGGACCCTGAGTCCTCGATTACCTCTGAGAGGGGCCCGGTGTGTCCCACAGGCTGGTGTCCTGCCAACCTCTGAAGGCATAGGACCATCTTAACACCTCCACACTCCTTTGCTTTGCCACACCTTGTCTCCAGCTGGCTCCATCCTGCACAGAGGGAGGACATAGGAAGCCTGTGGGGCAGCAGGCAGTCAGAACCGAGCCTGGGAGTCCACCACCATCAAGTCTGTCTCCTCTGCTCTGAGTCCTTTGCTGTCCCTAACAAGGCCTGGTTGGATTGCTAGGGATCCAGGCTCCACCAGCACCTTTTCCTCTTGCTCAGGGTCTGCTTGCCACTCCCTTTCCCAGGGGTCCTGTGAGAGCTCTTGTGTGTCTCTGAGGTACCAGGTCCCTGTTGCAAGTGGGGCTGGCTGAGAGCGGGGCAGTGTGGCCAGAGCAGTGCCTCAGGCCCAGAAGGAAATTGCTGCTCATGCTCATTAATGCCCAGTGGCAGGACACCTGTACTTCCTACTCAGGTACTGCCATGGAGCATCCCAGGGCTGTGCCGTGGGGTGAGGGTTCCCCAAGGAGGCTTCCGGGTCATCTCAGGGAGGCATAAGTAGTGCACCTTGTTCCTCGCTTGAACAGCCTGAGTGTTTCCCTTACACACAGGAAGTAGCCACAGTTTGGACCCAGGGTTCAAGTTGCAGCCCTGCTTAGCCTCCCCCAGAACACCCAAAGGGCCCCATCAGAGAGTAACCCAGCACCCTCCCTGAGGCTTCCCTCGTCTACTTGCACCCCTCAGAATGGCTGGCCAATTTAGGTCCCATCCTGGTAAGTAACTGCCAGGCTCTGCCTGCCGCTTCTTGGCGTGTGAAGAGTCCAGCTGAGGAGCGTGTGGGCCACGATGCAGAGCCTGCGTGTTCCGAGGGCCTCTTGGGGCAAAGGCACACATCCCTCTCCAGAGAAGAGCCATGCTGGGCTGCCCCTGGCTGTGGGGCAGGAATGGAGGGCTTCCTGACCGGCTAGTGCCATGTAAGGACACCTTGCTCTGAACCTGATGGGTGGCCCATGAGCCTCCTGATGGAGGTACAGAAAGAGGTTGCAGGTCTGGTTGTGCCCCATCTGGAAGGGTTCACACTGTTGGCCTAAAGCCCAGAAGCCCCAGAGCCCCCTGCAGAGCAGAGGAGTCCCCAGGGGGGATCTTGGGACTCCCCGTCTCTGGCTGGGCCACTGCTTCCCAGCCCCTGTGCTGGAGGTATGTGTGTGGACCTCGAGGCTCAGGGCAGTGTGGGCACCACCTGAGGCTACCTTGCATTGCCCTGGGCTACTGTGGGGTCCAAGGGTAGGCTTGGGGAAGGCCTCAGGGCTGTCCAATTCTCTGAAAAGCAGAAGTTGATACTGTAGATGATTTATTGTAGCCCATAATTTTACCTTGATACCATTCGGCTTAAAAGTAATGGGTTTCAAAGAAACCTAGTTAGCTGGAAGTCTCTGCTCCCCAGAACTCAGACATGCCATGGCCCAGTTTAGGTCCATAGGAAGAACCCCTCTGTCTTTGAAACCAGATGAGGACATAGTCTGCAGGCCGTGTAGAAGGAGGCTCGCCTTCCTCGGGCACCTTATTTCTGAGGTGGCTTCAGGATGTTTGTGTGACTCATAGTGACCTCTGCCTTTT